ACTCCTGATCATTTAACTGTTGCTGTTGGTTGACTAAATGTTATTCCATCAAAAATTGATTTTCATTACAGGTCGCTCACTCTCAATTACTTCAGAAGTCAATTTCTGTTGAATCACAAGAGACGATTATACATGTAACTCCTACAGGTTCACCTACTACATCTCGGAAGGCTGCGATAGAAAAGCGTAAAGCGAAAAAAGAGGAAAAAAGAAAGCAACAGGAACTCCGAAGAGAAGCTCGCCTACTGAAGAAAAACTTGCGCTTCCTGAAATGCTCAGGGTCTCAGGTACTCTTGATAAATTGTGGCCAATGAAGTTCGTCATTCTCTCTAAATGTGGAACAACGATTTTTTTTGCTTTTCGTCAACCAATAGGGTGACGAACATCAATGGCCACGACAGTATTCCTCCGCCTCCTGACATTATACATTTTCAGACCACCTGTGATACCGAAGATTTCGCAGCTCAAGTTATTATTTCTACTAGTTCTATCGCTTGCCAGAATGACAAAGCTAGCACTTCCAGTACATCCACACAGCATGTGGCTGAAACTCGAGGAAGGCGATGTCAAACAAAACTTACATGGTAAATACATTAAATCACATGAGCTTGAAGTTATAATCATTTAGTATAAAATCAGCAGGGGATCAACTAGCTACTGCTCAGAAGAAAAAAGTTACAAAGCGTCGCCGAGTGGTACAGAGTGAGGAGAGACAATCCCGCACATCATCTACAGATGTTATTGAATCTGTTTCTTCTTATGAAGGTGACTTGCTTGATAACGCGTTGAAAACTATTGTTTGTGCAGGACATGGCCTACGATTACTATCAACTGATGTATCTGGCGGAGCTTCGTCAGAATCCCAAGTTAGTTCTCCGTTGGTCCAGATTTCTGCGGTAATCAATGAAAACTTGTTACCCGGCCAAGATGTGCCATCTGAAGATTCATCGAGTGATAGAGTCAATGAAAACAATGGCTCGAATAGTTCCGAACCAGAAACCACAGCTGAGGTATTATTGACTGACTTAATAAGTTTTAGTGCTTGTTGTTTAGGTTAGTTTGAATGTATGTCTTATTAACCGAGCAGTGGACGAGTCTGGAGAATATCTCGACAATTTTGATGATGATTTTGATGATAACGTCTTCGTGTCAGACGATGATATTGTTGATGAAGACCTAGAACAGTTTTCTGTAACTATTTCTACTCAGACTGAGGCCAAGCTAGATGAAGCAGTTATTCAAGTAATCCCAATTGCCTCTTTGTCTATATTAGCCAACGTAATTATAGACTGACGAATACATGTTTGAAGACAAGTTAGAAGAAATAAGGCAAGAAATAGAAGAAGAACTACGACCAAGAATTCAACAAGAGTTGCTAGCAGAAATGTTGGAGAAAGCTGCGATCACAACTGAGAGCTTCGTACAAACAAATAGTTCTTCCTTCTATGCTATCCCACAAGTTTTTATTTTCTATAATTTTGATTAAACTATACATGATTCAGACGGGGTTAGAAACAATTAATGAAAGTGCGGAAGATCGTTCGTCAGGTTCATGCAGCCCTGAGCCACAGAGATGTAACTTCCTGGCAGACGGTATGTGTCAAACGTCGGTGACTCCTTCCTACTCAGTAGTATGCCAGGTGTGTTTTATGTTACTAAAAAAAACAACTGAGCAAATTTAGACTGAAACTGTGGAAATAATAGATTTTAGACCCCCTGTAGGAAATATGGATATGCAAACTTCGTTCGATGTAATTGACGAAGAATGTCAAACAATTAAAACAGAACGGTTCGAAGAAGAAACTCAAACTCGCCGTGAAGAAGCCGATGGAGAAACACAGACAAATGAGACTCCCGTATTGGAATGTTTCTCACAAACTGACAATCTTATGAGTGATAAGTGTCAAGTCGTACAAACAATAGTTTCAAGCATTGGCGACTACTTCCCTGTCTCTACTCAAACTTGCCCGGACGTGGTGGACATGGAGGCTCAGACTAGAAATACTACAGTAGACCAATCAGAAACACAAACAGTTTTGTCTTGTGTTGGAGACTCTGAAAATACTGAAACGCAGACAATATTTTCCTCATTAGGAGACCTGCTCAGTATTGAGTGTCAAACGTTGATGACATCGATTAACAACTCAGAAGAAGTAGAAGTGCAGACTATTTCTCCTCTGGTCAGGTCCGATTCTACCCAAACACTAGTTCCTACATTGTTGGAAAATGATACTCAGACAGAACACGGTCAAATCGATCAGAAAACAGTTCAAGCAGAGGTTTCCAAAAGAGAAATATCCCCAAAGTTATTTTAATTTTTAGATCGAAGTAGACACACAAAATCAAAGTGTTGATGCTACGCCTACTTTGAAGACTGCGGTGGTTCAACCAGATGTAACAATGTTCCAGATGAAAGACGAAGTAAAAAGTTAAAAGAGACAAAATGAATAATCATTATGTTGATCAGGATTCCTGGAAACTACAAGAAGAACTAGCAGAAGTGCGTTTTAACGTGGAAAGAGGAACATCCATGGAAGAAAAGACGCAGAAATCGGTTGAATCCCAGGTTATTCATATTAGAAAACATAATTATGAATGTTTTTATAGTGCAAGATATTCGAAACAGAATGCGTTGGAATCCAAGTCATGCCTAGTGTGACAACTTCTCATACACAACATACACTTGTGTGTTTAACTGATGACTTCACACAAACTGATATTTACATGAAAAGTAAAAGTAGCCAGGTAACTTAAGTTTACAATTCATTGTTCAAAGCAGAGATAACGTGAAAATTTTTTTGTATACAAATCTGAACCTTAGGGTATGATGGCAGTTTGTGAAACTCTTGAACAAGAAGTTCAAGTCAAATATGAGCATGAGGACAAAATGCTTGATTGTGATGATTTGAACGAGCTGATGGGAGAGGAGCTCCCACTTGTACCAACTCATAACCTATGGAGCGATTTTGACCGAATTCCGGAATCTCCTGAATCAGATCCGAATGCGTCGACTACGACGGACACCGAATGTCAGACAGATTTGGATAAGAAGCAAATAGAGAAGCTGATTGTTTTGCAAGTTCTGAGCTCAACCGAGAACGATGATCGCGAACGTGTCGCCAAGGAGAAAAGTAAAAAAGAAAAAGTCACTGTCAAAACGATGGTTGATGCTTTCGAGACCAAAGCTCACTCATTAAAAAGCGGTGACTCTGAACTCGAGTCTTTGGATGGCTCGAAAAAAGATGATGTAGTATCTAAGAGATTTTCTAGAACGAGTAGAGATGAAAGCACCAATGGTGACGATCAGCTGAAATTCCAAAAACTTTCGAGAAGTTCTTTGAATGACGATACATGTTTGGACAGCGAAGTTTTCGTATCTGAAGACGATGAGGAAGAAGAAGTCATCTTTGAAAATTCACTTGGGCAGTACGAGATAGTTGAAAAGGATGGAAAGTTCGTGAAGAGACGAGTCAAACGACTACCTGCATCAGCCACCTCAATTGCTCAAAGAAGAAATGATAGGCTTTCGAGCGAGACAAGCTTCGGATCAGACAACTTGAGAAGTTACAACTCTTTGTCAGCGGAAGACATGGTCTCCCAGGAGCCAACCAAGATCAAACTAAGGAAAAGAAAAAGTATGAAGAATATCGAAAACAGCGATGATAACAGCAAAGGCAGGAAGATAAGGAAAACCGATGTAGGCGTCCAAGCTTCTATTGAAGATGAAACTCAACTTCGATCTGCCGCAACTTCTCCAATTCAGTTCGGAGAAATCAGCAAAGATGATCCAGCAGATTCATTGAATGTGCCTTCGTCCCCATTGCCCAAAAAAAAAACTCTGAAAGCGACAAAATCAACTGAAAACGTTGATGAATTACAAGCTGATCCTACAGATGGAAAGAAGGAGAAAACTACAGTTGTTAAAAAGAAGCTTGTGCGAAAGAAGAAAATACCTTCAAAACCTGAGGTTGAAGAAGCTGAAGTTCAAGCAGTAGTTGATACTAGATCACTAGGGATCGGTCAAGACGGAAAGGAGGATTGGAAAGAGGTAGATAGCATCTGTTCTACCACATCATCACATATCACTGCACACACATGCACGCACACTATTTCTTTCAGAGATCACTTTCAAGCACTTTTAAGCACGGGAATGCATTTTACTCTTTCATTGAGCTTTTCACTATCGCATATCTTTCACACTCGCTTCACATTTTTGAAACTTTTCTGATCATAACTTCTTCTTTTAAGGTCTACCTGGCTGAGCTTGACCTGGAACGCCGACAGCGTATGCTAGATATTGGTATTCAAACTGGCGTGCTTGCAAGAGTTCAACATATATATGGAAAGAATGATCGGGATAGTACAGAATCAGAGGTAGTTTCCTGCGCATTGAATTTGTGTAATCTTTGAGTGCTAGCAGAAATCCACAAGTGAATTTCCAAAGGTGAACTTGAGAAAAACAGACTCATCTGAGTATGTAAGGTATGTTCAAGCCCATCTTTCTATGATGTTAAATTTTGTCAAACAGAAGCCAAGAGTCGCTTGCTCGTACCAACTCAGTTTTATCAATCGCTGAATCTCTTGGTGGAGCTGAGAGCTCACCTGGTCCATCCAGACCGATATCCAGGTGCACTAGTGATGATCTCCGGTTGCAAAAAAATTTTTATTTCAGGGCATCATCATTCAAGAAACCGAGAAAATCCAGAGATTCACATCAGGAAACTAGAGAACAAACGGTTTGAACTAATCAAACGTATGCGTAGATTATTCATAACATTTAAGGTAGCCAACTTGAGATCGAAGTTTGAAGATTCGGAAAGAAGGCCCCGACGTCCTCGATCATCATCAAATGAGAGATAGTTTATATACCATTTAGAAATGTTTTCAATTGTTTCCTATGGAAAAAAATATTTATTCAAAATAATTTTATTAAATATTTACAAATATAATTAAATATTAGAATGATCAATATAATAGCATAAGTTAGTGAGAGTAGGGTTTTATGATTCTGCTGATACAACACTGTTATCGTTGATATCTTTGTCTTTCTCTTTGAATGACAACTGCTTACGGATGGAGGAGCGAAATCCACGTTTTGATCGACGTAACGATCTGGAAGAAGAAAGTTAAGTAATCTCAATAGAAACTTGTTCGAAAATGGGAAAAAGTATAGAAGTAGAATAGTATGAAAGGAGAAGTAAGTTCTCATCAAATTTCTAAACCTCCTTGTGAATGGAATGTAAGTTCCATCAACATCTGCATCTTTCTCTTTTACAGGAACTATTGGTTCATTGAAACATCTAAGTTGTTAATTATGAATAATTCTAAGCATTAAGTTATTCAAATCATTTCTATAGTATTAACAGTATAGGGTGGCTGAATCGAACTTACTTCCTCGCATATATAGCTTGTCGCATGATCCCTGTCCTGTTTGCTTCCAATTTTGCTTCCTCTGCGCACTGTTCGAAGAATTCTGGAAGAGCATAAGGTGAGTGAAGAGTTTATATGCTTTGAGAGTAACCTCGTAGCTTGTGAACATCAGGCATGATATGCTCTTGAAGTTCTGTCATTTGAGCTCCAGTCATTTTCAGAGCCATTTCTAAGTGCTCCAATGCTTTTTCAGCTGCCTGCAACTGTCTTTCGGCACCCATCCGAGCAATAACCTGCTCACGAAGCTCGGTTTCTGTTAATTCTTTCTGTTCATTCACTTCCTGAAAAGTTTACGAATGCAAAATTTTGTGAGCAGATGCATACCTTAAGGTTTGAAAGTAAATCTTTTGTTTGTTGGGTATAATACTGTCTCTCCTTTTCCAGATCATCAGTCTTAGTCTCATTCAAACGGAGCCTTCAAGATTCAAAATAAGAATAATGATTCTAAGAGTTTCTTACAAGTGTTCGATTTTTTCTTTTTCCGTTTGAATACAATTAGTTTTCGTTTCAATTTCCAACAGACGGTTTTTCAACTGACAGGTTGTCGTTGACAAGTTCTGTTTCTCCAGAAGAAATTGCTCGCGCTCACGTAAAATAGATTGCATCTGTTCTTGGATCTTCTCTTTTTCAATGTTCAAAGACTGAAAAGTTCAATAGGAATGTAGAAATCTTCAAGTTAAAAGGTAAAATACCTCCATGTTTGCCTGCAAGAATTCGGTTTTCGAGTTGAGGGAGAGCTTTTCCTGTTCTAAGGTTTTCTTCATTTCACTTGTTAATTTCAATTCACTGAAACGATTCACGATAAGCTCATAAAATTTTTCACGTAATTAACGTGGGACTTGGACTTGGAGTTTTCATTTTGAATCATCCAAACTAATGAAGCGGTTGTGCAAACTTACTTTTTAACGTTCTGCAAGTCATCACGTAATTTCTTCAGAGTTTTGATCAATTTTTCTCTTTCCTCTTCGAGTTCATCTTTCACACGAGATAATTCCTGAATAGTCACTATGCACTAGCGATAAGAAGTATAATCTAACATCCGCTCGCTCATGTTCTTTTTGACGTTCCTTAGCCTCCTTCTCTAGTCGTTCTTCGTATCCTTTCTTTTCTTCGTTCAACATAACTCCACGTGTCTCCAACTCACGAATCATAGTTTCTCCATATATCGTATTTTTGTATGAACTGAGAAAGAGAAAAGTAACAAAACTTCAAAAAAAAAAGTTTCTCACACTTTGGTTGCTGTCCTGAGAGCCTTAAGCCACATTTCTTGACTCTTCGGATCACTCGCAGCGACTATGATAGCCGATGGTAGCTGTGGGTGTGCAATAAGAAGGCAATGTTTTTTTCCAACATCACCTCCACAAACTATAGAACAACCTATCAGTGGGATGATACCCTAAAAGCTGAGTGTGAATCAGAAACTCAAAAACAAAACAATACCTTTGGATGGAGATCAATACGTCGAGTTTTTTCAAAGTTTTTCTTAAACTTAGCAGCATAGTAGATGAGGAAACATTCCTTCAGGAGAAAGAACCTAGTTAAGGATATATAACTGTTTCAGGCTACTGATTTCAAACCTTTTGGTCCACTTGGCTGGTCTGTTCTTCTTTTTATATTTTTTGAGCAAAGTACCATAGCATTGAACGCCAAGTACAGGGCCGAGTTCTTCATAGTGTCCTTCTTCAGGTGTGAGATCGTAAGGATTGTCTTTCTTACGGCTGACCCCAAGATTAGAGAACTTGAATAAAACAAACATAGCATGGTAAGACTAAATGACTGTTTTACCTGAAAGGATAAACTTCTCAAAATTCCTTTTTTCTCTTTGGAATCGGGAGGGGATGTAGGAATGACTTTCTTCTCCTTGGTAGGAGCAGGAGCTACCTTTTTAGATTCAACCTTTCCCGTGGTCATTGGTAACTATATTATCATGAGTATTGAAGTGATGATTACAACGACAGTATAAGGAAAGCGGCTCAAACAAGCAAGTTATACGATCGGAACAGAAAAAATAAGAAAAAAAAACGCAGAGCAAGAAGTAGGAGTAGCTTCGAGTGGATGATGAGGTCTGACCGGTCTTTGACATGCTCAAATGTGTGGAAATCTTGTATTTCGGGTATAAAAAAAAAGATTTTCAGATGACGTTTGTGGATATTTTTGTTGAAACGATATATGTTGATGAAATAAAAATAGAAAGCTGTCAAGTGAGAAAAACAATTTTTTTCTCCATCTGAATCACACAAATCACAAATCTGTAATGAAACTAAGGATAGAGAGAAGAGAAGGGAACTGTTCATAGTTGAAATTATAAAATCAGATTTTAGAAATTAAATGAAGAAGATGGTGATGAAGACGACATTGCAATAAATGCCCTAAGGTGATGAATATGAGATGAATATTTGAATGACCTAATATAATATTTGAAAATATTTATGTCCGTCATTCGAATATGTCTGAAGTTACGTTCATCTGCATTCTATTTCCTAATTTCTATCTATCTTTTGCATAGTTGAAAATCATTTATAGATAAAGAGAAAATTAAAGGAACGAAAAGATAACCTGAAAAGGGAAATTATTACGATCTGAGGATTATAACATCGGCTTTCTGTAAAAGGAACAGTATGAAGAAATATGAAGCATATCTTAGAGAATTCAATGAAAATTATGATGTCAAAATGGAAATGAAGACAGATCATCGTTTTCAAACCTCTTCTGCTCTCTCTCTCTTTCTCTCCTCATCTCACATTCTTCCCTCTATCTCATTTTATCCTCCCTTGTCTCTCTTGCTATCTTTTTGTCCTTTTTCAACCTCTCCCTTTCATTCAAAAGACAATACATTATAAAAAGTTGCATTAAAATATTTTAATTAAACAGGTACAACGGGGCTTTCATACGATTTTATATGAGATTCATAAAGTTAAGAGAGAATTCAGCTGAATAGGAGAGTAGTCTCAGTGCTGTCTCAGGCTGTTTGTTTCCAATTGTATCAATAGAAGGTTTGACACTTTGACATTTCATCTTCCATTCCGTGAGATCTTGTATGGCTTTTAGTTAAATTATACGATTTTCTTTATGAACTCACAAATGATTTATGAATACAGATGATGAGGGAAACAAAAAAAATTTTCAAATTGAAATAATGACGCCACACGTGGAATATCCGTGAACATTGCAGATTTCATTTTTCATGACAGTGACGTGTGGACTGGTTGCACTTATCCCTCTTACTTTTCTTCGTTCTTTCTTATCCATTGCCTCTTACTCTCTGTCATTATCAACCCTCTCATAAGATTTGTACAAAAATAAGAATTATTGCTCTTTTTATCTCAAATACATCCTCATTTGCAAAACTCTTTACATAACTCTCCCAGCTGCTGTCTCTCTTAAACACGTTTGATTCTAATTATTCTGATATCATTACCTCTCCTTCTACTCTCCTGTGTTTGCATTATCTTTAAGGTCTTCTCTTTTCTTATATTTTTTTGTCTCTTTCAATGGCCGTCTGTCTTTCTCGACCTCTTCATCAGATTGCATTGAGGTAGGTCATTACTGGAGCGTGCTGTTACTCTCTATGCTTACTAACACCAAATAAATCCTTTTTTTATAATGTATTTTAAACGTTTTTATTTTCAGAATATTGTTAATCACTAGAAATGCTAACAAGACGTCGAAAAAAGGTTTTCTCGATAATACAAGGAACATTGGTTTATAAAAACTTTTTTTTCAGATGAATGCTGGTGATCCGATTCATGAAGAAGATAACGAAGACAACCAGACAACAGTCAAAAAACCTCGAGAAGATGTTGAAACAAAAAGCGCAACAAATCAGTCGTCTTCTCCAAGCACGATTACTACTACATCTGACTTGATGGAGCGGATGAGTTTGAGTAATGAATCAACAAAGTCAAAACCGGGATCGCCACTGGGAACTCCGCCTTTGTTAGACTATGAAGGACAGGAAGAAGGTGGAAACGATAACGATGATGAAATTCCAGAATACTTACCTGAAACATATAACTTTTTACAATCTTCGGATGATATTACTAGTATTCCAATAACTGCTCCTGTACTATCGCCCATCTGTTCACCCTCTTCTGCTATATCTCGATCACCTTGCTGTACACCACCGCCAACGCTTGAGCTGCCACCTTGTAGAGAAACAGCCTCAAGCCCTGATGAATCGACCTCTTCCGACTCTCCAATCAAGTCTGAGTTCAGTGAAGCTGGACCTTCATCACGAAGACGCCCACCTCAGCTTCTCCCGTTCGCTTTGAGTTATGCCGGTACTAGTCAACAAGCATCATCATCCGATGATGAACAAGAAGCAAAATCGTTTGACATTACTTCTCGAAACTCATGGAAAGTGTTAGCAGATTTTGGCAAAAACATTGCAAAATCAGTTACATCCCAGCTAACACGAGGATCATCTGAGGTGAGAAAGAATGATTTGATTGAACTTTGAAACGAATCTTTAGCCAAACAAGAAAAAAGGTCGTAAAATGAAGTCATTCAGAGGACGCAACGCAAAAAAAATGGAAGAACTACGTCAAATTGATCTTCAAATAGAAGATGAACAGAAGAAAGTTCGAGAAGGGGTAATGAGAATCTTTGAATTTCAATAAACAAATTGTTAATTTCAGCATATGCCTTTATTGGAATATCATTGTGAGAGTATGAAGCGAGTAAGTTTGCAACAATGAAGCAAAAAATAATTTTTGTGATCATTAAGAAACATTTCATGCTTGGATTGACGAAAGACGATATCGATGACATCCGATCAACAATCGTCGATTTGATGCAGAAAGTGGTGGATTTACCTCCATTACCAATGAAAAAAGTATGATTTACAAAAAAATAAACAAAATAATGAAATACTTCAGCAACGAAGTCGGAAAGTTTTTCGATCAACAAGAGACTTCTTCTTACGCTCACACGGATCTTCTCAAACTGCGACGGGTGAAGAGCAGCAAGAGATGGATGATGAAACCATACGGGAATAGTTTAATGTGTTTTATTAATGTTATTATAAAATAAAAAAATGTTTTTTTCCATTCTATAACTTGTAAGAGAATTAGGTTGCAGTTGATAATTGAACAAAACTTGTTATCTGCTTAACCTTCTCATACGGATTTCCTTATACAACCTGTTGCATGCATGGATAAGTTGTTCAACTTCAAAAACTGTTTTGTATCAAACAATAGGATGATGTTTGAATAGCAGACTGGAACAACATGTCATATCTTAACTGACCCGGCAAAACAGCACAAAATACAGCTTGATACAGAAATTAAATTTAACAATACTTTCCTCACCCTTCCAGATACAAAAAACAACAAGGAAAGTCATCGACATTGATTTTATTCGCTACTCTTCTAATCCCATCCTCTCTCTTTCTGACCCATTTCTAACACGTTTGGCCTTGTTCCTTCTAACGTTCATAACCACAAGTTGTGGAATCTTTCCTCCTATAATATAAAATTTTTTTTATACTCTCAACAAGCACACTCAAACTGTAACTGAAGATGGGCATCTCTTCTGCTGACAAAGAAAGAATCGAGCAATTGCGTCAACTTGTTAAAGATCAGGTAGATTTCAAAATATTTTGTTTGAGAAATCGATTTTTTCAATTTTAGATAACACCCTATTACGACACTGATTTCAATTTATTGAGATGGCTAAAGGTTGGAATTACAGATGAAAGCATCAATTATATCTTTCTAGGGTCATGATTATGATCTTAAGATTATCTTGCCTAAGCTTATTAATCACCTCAAGCTTCGTACATCCGATTGGCAATTAGATAAGGTAGCTGACGCTCCACGTAACCACAAAGTTCATGATCATTGGAAGGTGAAGAGTTCTTCCTAGTTCTTCTGATAACTGTCTTATTCGATTCAGTCTGGACTAACAGGTCCTTCCGTTCTCACACCCAATACCATTGTTAACATTGAGCAATCAGGAAATAATGACTATTGGGGTTTATTGAAAACTTATCCAATTAATGATATTCTGAGGTAATACAAAATGTTGCAAAATGCAAGTTTCAAAAATAAAATTAATTGAAGAGCTCGTGTGTACGACTTGGAAAGTATGCTTCGATCAGTGATGGAAATGGAAAAACAAACAGGTTAATAATATAATGGAATTGAAATAATTGAAATATGATTTGATTTTAAGGAGAACAATGCTCTATACTGTACATTATGGATTTGTCTGGAATAGTTATGGATCGTCATACTATTACCTTGATGACAGGTGGACTATCAGCAATCTCAGCTTTCATGTCAGAGCATTATGTGGAGATGGTTCATTCCTTCGTTCTTGTCAACGTTCCAACATTCATCTCTGCAATCTGGTAATATACTTTTTGTCTTCATTTTTTTTTCGCTAAATATTTCTCATTTGATTCTCTTAGCACAGCTATTGTTATTCAAATTTCACTGTACGTCATTTTCACGTGTAATTATGAGGGCGTTATTTTAATTCGAATAGATGGCAGAAGCGGTTGTGCAAACTTTTTCCCTTTTTTATTATTTTTGTTTTGTTTTGGAAAAATTTGTTTTCATTTTTTAATTTTTTATTTCGTAGGTCTATCGCGAAACCATTGTTACCTGAGAAAACTCGTTTGAAAGTAAACATTCTCGGCGGAAACTGGCGTGAAGAAGTCCAAAAATTGGCTGATCCAAATACGCTGCCATCATACTGGAATTTGGAAGGAAATGATGGGGTAGAGTCGGATAAAAAATTTTGGTTCAAAAAAAATATTATTTAAAGCCTTTCAAAGCAAATGTTGAAATTGGTTTACAATTTCCTGAAACAGGCTATTACTCTGGTGGAATATCGAAAGGATCTGAAGTGTTGTCTGTATCTGCTGGTAAAACTGGATACGTAGATATGATCGTTAAGAAGGTACAATTTATATAATAATGATTGGAAGTAATGGAGATATATGACGTGAGCAGTTTCTATAAAACCACCTTATAAACTGCTCATATACACATACATATATATACACATATATATATAGCTATTATTAAAATTATATGATTAATGGAAGTACAAACTGAATAGCAGTGTACTATGAGAGAAGAAGCATGATGATGACGATGCTGAGAGATGTGCAACTGAAATTTTGTAATAATAAAAAATAGAAGAAGCTAATTCATTATAAGAAAAATAATTATTAAATTAAAATAATATTAATTTGTATTTATTTAATTTTAGAATTCAAAACTGCGTTGGGAAGTACACGCCAGCGGTCATTTTGCTTTCTGTATCTACAAGTTGGATAAGAGCGTGGGTGATGACTATACAAAAATGGAAAGAGCATATCCATTGTTCAGCGTATGTTAATTAAATATATATAATTATGTAAATATGTTAAATGATCTAGAAAGTGCCGGGTCCAACACTTGTTCCATGTATTGATGAGATATCATGTGATGATGATGGTATCTATCGATTTTGGTTTGGAAATGAGCATGCCTGGCTACATACACTTAAAATAACTCATTTAATAAGAAATTATTGAATATTTTTATTATTCAAAAAAAAGATAGACTACCCGTCATACAACTTTAGCTAAAACATTTTTAATTTCAATTTTGAGACTCAAATGAACTTGTAAGTGAAATCATAAAGATTTGTCGAATACAATTGAATGATACTAATCAGTTTGCTTGGCCTTTTCAAATAGAATTGTTGAGCTGATTTACAATATGAAACTGAAAGATAAACTTATCAGAGATCCAGATTGATTTCATATATAAATATATATATATATAGATGTATAATATACTCCTTAATTATATAAATTAGCACCACTGGACGTTATTGCGCGGGAAAGGAGAAAGAATACAAAATGTGTTTCTATTATTATTCTATTGGAGCAATGACATCTTCTCCTTTCTTCATGCAACGATTGGGACTGTTATGATTATCAAGACGATTTGATGATGTGCTTGTTGGCAATTCAGGATAGTTCGTTATCTGGCTGTAGCTTGGTGGTGATGGATAAGGTGGTGGAGCTGCTATTCCAGGAATTCCCTTAATAGACATATATTATATTAATTATATTGTTAATGTTTATCATTAAACGCCTACTTCATATATTATTATTGTATTAGAAAATATTTTAAAAACGAACTTGAAATCGTCGGGGATCTCTCATTGAAGCTAAAGGAGACCCATTATTAACAGAATATGGAGGCACATAAACAGGATAACTGAAATCACTGCCAGACATAACTTCAGAATAATAACCTGAAAACAGAGAAAGGATGAAAATTTTAACAAAAATTTAATTATGAAAGCGGAAATACTCTTTCGCAGGTGATGCATTGACGTATGCAAATGCAACAACTCGCTTATTACTTACTCGGCGGAGGGATGTATGATTCTGAAGATGCAGCGTTGTTCCCACAATTACTCTGACTACTGGTATGTGAATCAGATGAATGATTAACTACATCAGGTAAAGTGATACTCGTCGTACTCGGATTTGATCGTTGTCGCATAGATGACCAATGATTATTGGAAGCTCTATAATGAATTTAATGCAATAAAGCACAAACGACAAGCAGTGGGATGGTTTTTGGGGTACAAAAACTTATTTTTTTACTTATTTATTATATTTTTAATGAAAAAGACGTTGAAAAGAAGTTTTGAAGCAGAAAATGTGTGAACGAGAGAAAGAAACGCGGTTTCTGGCGCTGAATTGTCTCCTCTGTACTATCTGCTCAAAACTTCATTTACATTTTGCTGATATTTTCGAAGATTTGCTTTCTTCAGGTAATTAGGAGGGGAAAGGGAAGTGTCTGGTGAAGAAGAAAATATTCGAAACTTACTTGACAAGAAAACAGGATCGAAGAACAATAATTAACACGAAAACAGCAGCAAATAGAACAAAGGGTACAATGATGAAGAGAGAATTTGCTACTCCAAGTTCCAACATAACCACATCGTCTAACAATTGACAAGTTTATCTGTTATAATTTAAATATGTCTGTTACTTTGTATGAAGGTAGATACGAAGAGAGAAAGAGAGAGAGAGAGAAAAAGAGGAGAGGAGGAAAACAGAGAGACGTTGAGAAAGAAAGAAAACGCATGAAAGGACATGCTTGAAAATGAGTATGAGATATAGAAAATGAGTTTAAGGTAACAACATGAAATACTTCCGTCATTGCTACTTCATACTGATTGGAAATCAAGAAACGCTCTCTGTTTCAGATGTGTTTTAAGAAATCTAGAAAAATTCATGTACGAAGCGGATCAGTTCACTAAAAAATTCATTATCATGTGGAAACTGTTATCAGAATCTGCAAATAATTGAGCAAAGCACAAGAGCGAGAGAGAGAAGCATAGATACATGTGAGAAGAGGAGAAACATGTGAATATATGCTATTCGTTGTACATGAAGGGCATGAGAAATAGACAGAGAGGGGGGGGGACAGAGAGATGAATGAAAGATTGAAAGAATTTGATCAAATTTTTGAAGTTTAATATAGGAAGTTTATCATTCTGTTATATCCAGTTTTATCATGAGCTCACATACTATTTCTATATGGCATAACTAACTTATTATCTCTGGCTTCTGTTAGCTTTATTGTAATTATTCTTTAAAAGTACATTGCAGATATAGAATATTTTGCTGTTTAACAACAATCTTTTCAAATGCATGTATAGAGAGATATATGGAGAGTATGAGATAACCTAGTGTTAGTACTCAACAAAACAACCGTTCAATTGACGTCAATACATATACACTAACACATAGTCAAATCAATGAGAAGAGAATGCTCACGTGAAAATCAGACGTGAAAATGAAAAAAATTCGAATATTAATCTCATTTGGTTAACGTGCGTTTGTTGCTTCAATATGAAGCGAATATGATTAAGATCATTATATTCGAGAAAATTTAATAAAACTGAGAAATTGATTATGAAACTTCGCACGCAATAGAAAGCCGTCGACGACGACGACAACGGCAACGACGACGACCGACAACGACCGACGATGAGGACGAAGAAACAAGAAAAAATAAATTGCTGATCACAAAAGTGAAGTGGAGAAGTAAGAAACAGCGGAAGACAGATATTATGGCTAAGAATAAAACGATGTAGGAGTAAACTTAATTTTTTTTTGTCGGTTTCATAAAATATTCAAAAAATATGAAAAATTAATTGAAAGGTGATAATTGAATGAGAGTTTGGAATGGAGGCAAAGAAGAAGCTGATTGAGAATAAGAATTTGACTTGAAAAACCGCATATGAATGTCTCGTGATGAAAATGTGTTTCGTCTTTTCAAAAATGAAGTGAAATCTATGAATTTCGAATAAATTATGAAAAAGTTATAAGCAAACAATGTATATATATGATGTATGATAAGCATTGACATTTAGACTCATTCTCATATAAAGGCATCTTCATTTTGTGCTTAACATTGTTGGGGGGAGCTTACAAGCAAGCAGTTGTCGTCCTGTGTATGCGTACCGGCTGTTGCTCTCCATCTACTACGCCCCACCAATCAGGCTCTTTTCGATATCTCCAAGGAAACGCTAACCAATTGTCACAAAAATAATGGCAGTCTGAGTGAAAATCACTGATATCTTAACTATCCAAAATACTTTTTTTTTCTTTTTTTTTTTTATTTTATTGAAACATTTTTTTTCTCTTTTTGAGATTTCAGCTCATATCATATGGCAAGTTGACATTCAAATATTATTCAGCATCTCATGGTAATTGAGAATGTGATTAAGTCAAAAGGCATATTCTATTCAGCCGAAATTTTATTTAATTTATATCTTTTTATCATATAGCCTTCAGTTGGATATATAAGGCTATCAGGAAATTCACTTGTGTGTCTTGGAGACACCCAAAAAAAGAGAAAAAGCTTTAATTCATTTTTGAGCTCGAACGACTCGTTTGAGAGATCAGAATGAGATGAAAGGAAATGATTTTGACTGCAGTCTCTCCATCTCCATTCTATTCCATCAACATCAATTGACTTTATGATACGAGAATGTACGGTACAACTCGTGTTCTTTGAGTTAACATCCGAAAAAGGAACATTCTCTCTCTCTCACTCTCTCTTCCGAATGGGTCTTCTTTATTATGCGAGGAAAAAAAAGCAAATCAAAATAGAAATGATTGAAGCTAAATATGGAAATCAGGAGGTGTATCACGTCAAAATAAATTGAAAAATTGTGTCGACACAGCCATCATAACAGAAGTGAAAAGCTTTGGATGAAGAAACTTAGGTTTATAAGCTCAACAACCAAACAGTTAAGTAAAACAAGATATTAAAACAGGAACAAAAAAAATAATATTTCTGGAATTTGAAAATGAAATCAACCGTTCTATACGTTGTCGTTTCTTCAAAATGACGTGAGAATATGTAAACGATAGTCTTACGTGAAATTAGCATGACACAAATCAAATGCTGATGTGAAAAGTAAGCCTTTTCGAGGAAAATGAAAAATGCGATCGTTGAGTTTGTTGAATAGTGGTGTGAGAGAGAGAGAAAAAGAATTTTGAGTTTCATATCAATAAGAGCATGATATAGCTTTTTCTTCAATAATGACATATTTAATCATAATAGTATATCTCGTATTCTGTTTACAAAAAAAATAATAATAATAGAGAATCTAAAATTTTACTCCTATTTTCCTTCTTTAACATACACACACACACACACATGCAGACACATGCAGACACATACACACATACAGACACATGAAGTAGAAGAAGATGAGGTAGACGAGGAATGGAGAGAAAAAGAAAAACTGATTTAAATTGAGTAAAAGCATATGATTGCACGAACCAAAATGTTCTTCGGATTTGGAGATTGACGTCATATTATTTCCAAAATTTCCTCAACAATTTCTCATTTTTGAATGCGGATCTGAAAAGATATCTAAGATAAGATCATGTATGATGTTGATGAGAGATACACCATGAGCATCTAACTCAGTACGAACGAATAGAAAAGGAAACTGTTTCAGAATAAACCTACACAACCAATAGCTTCATTTCCTCATTTTTCTCTTTTCAATCGACTGACTGACTGACTCTCTACATGATGAGGAAAAAAAGAGAAAAAAAAGAAAAAAAATGAGAAGAGAATTCTGAAAACACGATATCATCAGCGAGTCTCACAGTACCGCTACATGAAACAGAAGATTGTACACGAAATCAAATGCGAATGGTTTGATGAGAATGAACATGCTTAAATACATGCATGATATTCATATATGTATATTTATATATAGAAATATTGCAATAATCAGAAAAACAGCTGAAGTTCTCAGAATATCCGACATTAATTGTCTTCCTAAGAGGATTACGATGAGATAGAACGAGGCGTTCTATTGCTTAATTGAGCACACTTTGGGAACGTTAGATGGATATACCTTCACCATCTCGAGCAACGACGACGAATCATTTATTCTTGTTCGTTCTCACAGTACCTCCTTTTCAGTTTCTTTTTTTACTCACCCTCTCTCTCTCTCTCTCTCTTACTCTTTATTTCTGTCTCTCCATTACTCTCTCTCTCTTTCTCGTTATCATTCTCTGCATCCTTGCAGAATTTTCTCTTTCAAATTCACACTACTTATCAAAACGACTCAAAAAATATAATTTATATTCTCCAGAATTATTTAATTATATTTACGCTGCCACATTTCCACAAATATCTCTTCGTAATATAATAATTCACCAAAAATTTTCTTTTTGATTCATCAACGTTGTATTCTAAAATGGTTTCTCCAGACACATACGTAACCATAATCTAAACTACAAAGCCATTCACTTCCACAAATTTTTTTCTTTTTCTACTTTTTTTTTCTTCTCTCCTTTTGCTTCGTTCATTTAACATAAAGAGAGAGAATGAGTTCCACACAAAATATTTTTTTCGGTCTAAGCACTGCTCATACGCGTATCTTCTCATTCGCATAAGCTTTATATGTTCGGAAGATGACCATAAATAGACAATTTAAAACTGAATGGGAATATCAAAAAGCGGAATTTTAATTGTCAACGAGTCATCTAATGAACAACTACAAGCTTCAGTGTTGTAAGCTGGAAGAAACTATGTCTGCCACTATGCATCTATCTCTTAAGCAATGCTACTACAGCTCCAAGCTCGACACTCTCATTCATTATTATTTTTTATTTGTTTATTTTGAAAATCCTTTTTTTTTCCTCGGTCGTTGTCTAAGATCCTATAATGACTGATGTTCATATAGGATCTCATTCACACAGCTTGAAGCTTATCTCCCCAAGGTATCGTGTATCTCATTTGTGCCGTCGCTTGATCAACAAAATTTGTACATTTCTGTGTGGCTTCTATCCAAGTATGCTCATAATATTGTATTGGAATGAAGTCGAAAACACCATCTTTTCATTACTTTGCAACATTCTTTGCTGCTTTTTCAGAAAAAAAAAAAGTTTCAAATGACTGCTAAGTACATATCTCTTAACTCATCTCAATCAATTTCAGAAACTGCCTTAAACGTCAAGAGTTTCCTTTAAGCAGTAAGAGAAAGATATTCATTCTTCTTCCTCTCTCTCTCTCTCTCTCTCTTCCAAAAACAAATTTCTTTCGTTCATTCATTTTCTTATTTCGTTTCTCTTCGTCTTTGTTTTCTTTTTTCCATTTTTTTATGCTCTATTCAAGCATTTTATCTAAGATATATATATATATTTAAGCTCTTATTCCTTCATGCTTTCATGTTCATTAGATGCAAAAAAAACATTTTTTACGACGAACCTTAAACGAACAAAATTTTTGCATCAAGTGGACTCTATTCTTCCATTTCTATTTCTCTTTCTCTTCATCTCTCTTTCTCTCTTGCTCTCTCTTTCTTCCTTTACAGATTCCTTATTCTCACTCTATGTATCTCCTTCTACAGATCACCACCGTCTCTCTCTCCCTCTCTTTCAATCTCTCTCTATCTCTTTGCACATTTGCATTCCTTCTTTTATAAAATATTTTTTTATCTTCCCAACCATCAGAAATACTTTTTCGACTTAATTCAGCATTTTGCTTTTACCCTTTATGCAGTAATTTAATATCTGCTGAAACCTTATTCTGAAATGTTTCTGCTTAGCTTCTTCCTTATACAACAAACGTTCATCCAATGAACATTCAGTCTCTTCTTCTTCTTCTTCTTCTTCTTATTCTTCCATAAATCGATTACCTGCGTAAAAAAAGGCTCAACCACAACCTTTTATCCTTTTCTCACATTTTTGATGTTTTTCTTCAATTCTCCGTCTTTTCTCTCATTTCAATTCTACAGCCAAAAAAAAGTTATTTATAATGATGAAAACTATTGCTGGCTTGATCTTCTGATATACATAGACAGGTCGTTGTTCTGTCCACTTTTCCAAACATCATCAATGATTTTCCTATTTGATACAGTTATGCCTTTTCACACTCCATCACATTTCTTCACACACACTTCATGTTTCAAAATCTTTTTCACATTTTTTGCTCTCCAAATAGCTCGTCCTCAGGGAGTTAAAGTTCATTTTTATTAAATTTTAAAGAAAGCTGCTTCATGTTAGAAAAGCAACTTTACCATAAATGCTTTTTCTTGTGTCACAACTTCTATAAATCATATGTTGGCCATTGTTAGTAAAAGTCGCCAATGTTTCTGCAAAATCCCCAAGGAAAAATTATCTTTTTGTATTTTTTATAGCCAGCTATACTATATAGAAGTTTTCTTAACTATATAAATCTATACATGCAGATGGAAAAGAGGGGGGAAAGCGGGGTGAATGAGAGAATGAACGAGAGAGAGTTAAGATGTTGTTGAGTACATTGATAGTTTTGATGATGATTGATATATTTGACAGAAAATATCTTCAGCTTTTATTTTCATTTCTTTTTTGTCTGCTGCTGCTTATAAGGAGAGAAGAAAAAAAAATCTTTTTAGAATAAAAAAAAAAAAAGCTTGAAGAGTCTACAGACATCTGTCTGAGCCACCAGGGAAATGTTCAAACAATTCCTATTGGATGCTGAGTATTCAGAACATTCACACGCATCTTCATTTTCTTTTTGAAGCAGAAGGTATCTAACAACACTTGGGTAGCATTCACTTGATCTCTTTAGCTATAGTTCCTTCTTGTTGCTTTTCTTCTTTTTCTTTTTCTCTTTGCGTGCCTCTAACTGATTCAGACAAGAAGTCGAGATGGCTTAACCTCAAGAGATTACAAAGCAATACTCCTTATTTGGTAAACAGATGAAATCTTTTGGCTCCAAAATACTTAATCCACGATCGTTGAGACGGTTCTGTTCTCCTCTTTTGCCTTTTTTCGTTCAAGAAAAAAGGTCATTTAAGCTAAAGTATTACCACTTACAAGTGTACTCACTAAATGCTGTTAGCTAATTGCCCTCTGTCCTGTCTTAGCATAAGCTTCAGGAAGAATCTTTATTCATATACATATAGTATATATACTATATACATATAGAGCTTTAAAAAATATTATTTCAAAGATTTAAATTCCGTTTTTTAATCAATTTGTTCATCCAAAATTTCTTCAGCATCCCTCTCTCTTTCTATCACCTTCTCACCCAAAGCTTCTAATTCAATTTTTCTGCTTGGATCTTCTAAATTGTCCCCAGAGAACATAACCATCTAATTTCATTTTGCTCACTTTACCACCAAATGAACCTACTTCTCATTCCTTTCATTCTTATTTCTTTCATATTCTTTACTCTTCCTCATCCCTAAAGCTTTTCATTCTTTAAAAAATGTTCTTTTTTTCCTTCTTCTTCTTCTTCGTCGTTGTCCAATACTTCAAAAATCATCAGAAGTCTCGTTGGTTATAGATGATTCGAACATATTTCTTTTCTCAACTGACTGAAGACGAATGAAATCGTTCTAAACATCTCTAACTCTATCTGACTAATGAATCTTTAAGCTTTTTTCTATTTTCAGAATGCTTGCAAAAGTTATATTGTTTGTAATAGCTTTAGAAAATGGATTTTCTAAGCGAATACTTGACAGTCCCATCATTATTGAAAGACCATCATCTTCACATATTGAATGGAATGATCTGATATTGGAATACAATCCTGATTCGTCACCTTCAGCTAATTTATCAGTTTGTTCTAATAATAGATTCATTATATTATTTTTTTTCTTATTTCTCAGATTTCCGTATCAATTGCTATCATTTCTTCTAAATATGATCAAACGGACAATATTCTTAAAGTTATTTTTGACTTAAACCAAAAATGGATAGATTATCGTCTTGTTTTCCATGGTGATGAAATGATTCCGGTAAGTTTCCAAGTTATTTCTCATCATGCAACACACGTGACACTGTTCATCATGCGTATGATAGATGTCACTAATTATATTTTAATTATTCATGTCATTTATACAATTGCATAATCCACGTGGTTTTCGTGTCGTACGCAAATCACGTGAGTCACGGAATTCATATTTCTATTTAACTCATAAAACGTTCCACATGGCGGTTGCATTCCTAAACATCATAGCACATAGCGGTCGCATTTCAAATTCTGAAGTTATGAGTTGACGTCTAGCCATTCCATGGCCATTTTTTTTTTGTGCCAAAAAAAAACTGTCAGACATGCGTTCAAACACTATAATTGGATGAATAAAATATTTATTTTAGGTTCCTGATAATATTCACATATGGCTTCCCGATACCATAATTCATAACTCTGTTGCGGATGTTATTCGAAAGAAAAGCATATTTTTGAGTCCAGGTGGTTCTGTTGAGTTACTGGAGAGACGTAATGCAGATGTTATTTGTAAAAATGAGGTTTACATAAGCATTTATATAAAATGAATTAATATATTATATTCAGACTAAGTGTGACCTTATGATTCGCAGTTTTGCAAACAGAGGAGCGCATCGACTTCTTTATGAGTTTGAAAATCCTAATAACTCAACAGACGACATGTTTGACATTGAAGTTCACAAAGAATCATTCACAATTATAACAAGAACAATTCCATATAATAGTACAAAGTACTTGTTCAATTTCAATAGAGAAGAACAAACATTATGATAACCTTAACCATATCTGCATAGTACGTAGACGTTATAAACGAAAAAATTATTTTTTTGAAAAAAAAAAGGAAAAAAAAAATTTTTTTTTTTTTATTTATTGCTCAATGTATTCCATTCGATTACCATTAGATTAGCATAAATCTTATTTTTTTTCTTCAAGTTACTGAGAGTATAAATCAGATGCAAAGAACGAAAAAAACTTTCATTTTTCATTAAATAATTGCTCTTACACATAATCGCTTAGAGATCATACAATGTTTTGCGAGAAAGAAAGGAATTACTTCATCAAGGAGATAGATTATTGAGCAAACATGGATGGATAGGTGAGAAAAAATCTTTTTCTCTTCTTCTTCTTCTCCTTCTTCTTCTTAACAATATTTCTTTTACAAAATAAAAGAAGAAGAAGACGGAAGACAAAAAAAAAGACAAAACAATGAAAAAGGAAAAGAAAACTTTACGACCCAGTTGGAAGCGGAAGGACCTGTCATGAGGCAGAAAGGATTTTTTTGAGAAATATTTTAATTTTTGATTATTTAAGAAGACATGATTATGAGTGACCCGCATTTAATTTTACTTTTTTTTCCTCAGAAAAATATATTTGAATAATTAAAATTTTTCCTATTTAACATCAACTTTATCATATTTTACTCTCACTTTCTCTCTCTCGCTCTCTCTCTCTCTCTCTAATTCTCTTTCTCTTTCTTTTTTATGCTTTCTCTTTCTTCCTTAGGAAGAAAGGATATCTACAGGATACTAATCACTTTTCAAATTTCTACAGTCAATCGATCAGCTGAACTATAAGTTGATGGTGAAGATGAGCTACTTGATGGTGGGGGAGAGGATGACAACGATATCGATGGTGGAGGTAACGCCGAAAACACTGGCGGTGGAGAATTCGAAATAGGTGTCATGCTAAGAGGAGATGTTGATGTTGAAGAGCTAGAAGAAGAGCTATTGTTGATCAAGCTAGGTGGAGGGCTGATTGGCATCTTGATAGCTACCTCATAAGGCGGAGGAGGATTACGTGGAATCCCACATATCCACATGTCCTCCGCGATAGATTCACTGAGCATATTCTCTGAAATGATCTCATGATTAGTATAATATTATGAAAGGACCTTAAAAGCTTATATACGACGATCACTATGGATCAAAAGGAATGCGTAGATGTGTTATTTGGCAAGCAAACAAACAGTTTTTGGTAAAAGACGGGTTTCGTAGATAATTCAAAATCACACCTGCATTGTTATTATTTTGTTGTTGGGTTCTATCAACATATTGGCTATATATTCGACATCCGAATGTGAATATGAACACCATAAAGAAGATTCCAATAGTTAATCCTGCTGCAACACCTCCACTTACTGATGATGATGTAGGTTCTGAAAAGATAGAACATAGCCATTTATGGTAATTACAGATAATTTTACTTTCATGATAATCATTCACATAATAACGGTCCCATGTAACAGGACGAAACGAATGATATGGCCATAGTGATTGCATCTAAAATCTTACAAGTTGCAAAAATAAGGAAAAACAAGAGTTCAGCGATCAAATAACAAGAAAAAGAAGATTATTTAAAAAAAAAAAAGAAAAAGAAAGAGAGCTAACAAGATGAAGACGAAGAAGACGACGAAGAAGATCCTCGCAACAAAGATTGAGCAAGAGAATTAGATAGAATATGAGATTTAATTACTTATTCTTAATATAATTATAATAACCCAAATATTCCATAATTGAGGTTGTCGGATAGTTCCGTCACAGAAATCTTATTGAGAATAGTATATCCATGTTTCAAGGATTGCTTAATTAAAATTTTATTGTGGAATCGGATTTGCGAAATTAATTGTAAAACTCATTATTTCCTTGGTGTCTGAGAAATGGAATTTTGGTGTGTGTGTGTGTGTGTGAGAAGCAAAGTGATCGGCCGATTGGGGAAAGAGGTGAACGAGAGATGAACTTTTCATAACACAAACCAGAAAATGCCAAAGAAGCAACAATGAAATTTGAATGATGCTGGGGGTCAAACAAGCCATCGTTTGTTCCGGCTTTGTCGTCCGATAAGCATCGACAACATTTGGTTGTGTAAGATCACACCTAACGATGACAGTTCAATGCCCGAGGTCATGCATGACTTCTAAGCACGAGAAAAACGAAGCAAAAAAAAAAGAAAAAATAAAGAGAGAAAAGTAAAAATGTTTGTTGTTGATATTTGATCTGTGGAAAAGCATACGCTTCCAACGGAATTATGTGGAAGAAATGGATTTCTACTTGATGCTCACCTAAGATTAGCTATATAAACAAGCTGCTGATAATTACAAGCTTATTCTGAGAGTGGAAAAAGAAAAACTTCAACCGAATGGCTTTCGAGAAAAACAGACGAGAATATGACTGGTTTCAATATATTATTAAAGACGAAATGAACGCATGTTCTATTGAAAGGTCGAGTGAGGTCATGATAGATCTTCTTCTTTTTCTTCATTTCACATAGTAGGATGAGGAAATAAAAAGAGGAGAGAGACGAGGAGAAGTGGCAATGAATGATCTTCCAGAGTAACCCCAAGGTGTCTCGAACAATAAAGATGTCTCAAGCTGCAAAATGGTTGACAACCATAGACTACAGACGACGAATACGGCGCCGCGGTCGAAGACGGTGATGACGACGGATGACGCCTCGTCAGCTGGTTACAAAAACTATGGAGTCAGTCTAATGCTAGAAGAGGAGAAAGCAGTGTGAGAACAAAGGCAAAGCATCATGTAACGACCTTGGGCACACGCAAAAAGGAAAAGATGAGTCGAGAAAGGTTACAACCAACAAAATAAATTATTACACAAAATATCAGACAAAAGAAAGATGAAACGTGAAGACAGAACAGTCATGGACAGATCAATCAGAATGGAAGGGTTATTTGCAGAAGAAGCTTACAAGTCAAAGGGCAAATGAACAAGACGTTGCGTGAACTTTAAATCTTTGTCCAACAAGGGAAACATTTTTTGTGGTGGTGACAAGAACAAAACAATAGCAATTGAACACGAGAAAAAAAAATAAAATACCGAACGAACACAGAAAATCTCGAATGCAACCGGTCGCTTAGTTTGCATATCACGGAAATGAAACAACTTTGACGTGACCTTCACGTGAACACGAAAAACAATACATGCAAATGCTGATAGTACGTGACAATAAAGATAAGAAACACATTTTTTTGAATAAATTAAGAGAGGAAAGCAATGAAGGAACTTGTCTGCTGTCTATTGTGAGAGACAAAAAAAGAATATTTTGTATGGTTAAGCTTCTAACTGCTTGAAATCAGATGATGTAAAAGAAATAATGATGACATAAAATAGCAAGTACTCGTCAACGATGACATGGTCCACAACGTGAAAGAATAAGAAAACAGGAACATCAACGAGGCATAAGTATGACACTATTGTTGGTGTTTTGTCAATAGATTATGTAATTATTGCCTGAACTAGGGAATGTGCGTAGATTGGCAAAGAAACACTAACAACACCAAAACTCTTCTTCTTGCCCATGGCGCTCCTCCTTTGAGAAGAGAAAAAAAAACCAAATCAAAGATGGTTTGTTGTCTGAAATCATGTAACGATGGCAAATGATGACAGACAGAAAACATAATTCAGTAACAACATCGAAGAAGGAACTATAGGTGGGATTAGAATGAACTAAAAACTACAAAGAAAGATTGCTGAGAACAGCGAGGCTTATGAAAGCGAAAAAAATTTGCGAAAACACGTGAAGTTCAAAACTCACGTATAATTGCTGAGATCATTAGGTGTACGTAATCCGGAAAAGGAAAGAGAGGAGTTGGAGAGCAAAGCGAAGAAAAACCAATGTTGAAAGAAACCAGGAACAGAAAATAATATTATAATATATGAGAGAGATAGAGTTTTAAATATGTCAAAGTTGTAATTGAATAATTTGATCAAATGTGAATGTTTTGAACAACGGTGATTGCCATATATTGAGTTGAAAGGCAATAGAAGGAAATTTGAAATTCGTTTCAATCGGATTTTCAAGGCACTTACAGAAGAGAAGAGAAAGTTCCAAGTTACGGATCAGAAATCAACTGAGTGAGGTGATAGTTGAAGTAGCAGACATTAAGAGAGGAAGATGAAAACAAGTTTGAAATAAGAATGCAAAAGTATGAGGAACTGTATAGATTTCTGAACTACCCTTAAGGCTGTAGCTGTCTGCTGAATGAGAAGGATTTTGTTTTCGTCTCTCCGTGTATAATCTTAAGTTAACAGAATAGCAATAATTAATGAACATTCCAATGATTTTACGACTATAAATCACAATATTCGAAGTTGTTTAGGCATGCCGGAATAACAGATTTGAGCTCAAAGCTCAAGCGACGTGTTGGGAAACAACGAAGGATATTGACTTTTCAGTGAACAAATCGAGTCGTTTGGAAGTAAACAAACTACCTGGAGAGATTAGGTACTTAATTTATTATTCTGATATTATAATGAGTAAGGTTGGGAAACGGAGAAACTATGAAAGCGTGTAGGAGGCGTGAGTGGAGGAAAGGACACCCTAAGACATCCAAACAAGCCAAGGTTTCTCAAATCTCACGAATAATATATTGAAATGAATGATTTTATGGCAAATTAATTTTATAAGTGTAGTCTCAAAGGAAAAACTAATGTTGAGTTGAAAAAGATCAAAATTGTCACGAACGACAGTCAAGCCTGTGGCAAAGATCAATTTTCTGAAATCATTAATGAAACGGACTCATTTAGGCAATAGTCCAAAAATGAATTCATTTGTTCTCAAAATGTACTACAGGCTTCCGCTAAAACGCATGATATGAGATGGATTACGTGTAAATCTAGATTGAAATTTCAAAATTGAAATATAAATTCATCCAAATGTTTAGTTTGGTCAATAACGGCAATCTACTTAACTACTATGATATTCCATGGGAGTATCATAAGGAGTGTGGTGGTAGTAGCAGTAGTAGAAGTAGGAGTGGGGTGACACACACAGGAAAAACGGGAAAAACGACAAAGCCACTTTATCATGAAACTTATTTTTTCGATATTCAACATAAGAATTTGGCATTGCGAAAGTTCATCAAAATACAATTTGAACTTCGCTTTGATGACATTGTACACTTGAGAGCAATTAAAAGCCAACTAAATGACAAAATGACGAACAACAACAACATGAACATACGTAAATCTCAATTTACCAACATTAATTCCTTGTTTGATTGAAAATTTTTCTTTTTTTTTCTGCTAGAGGGCCATCGAACAAAGAAAGGCAGAATTTTAAGGTGTTTTGTAATGAAAAGTATGCTAGAGACGAACATGTTCTCATTTGATGTAAAGACCCAGAAACAATAGCATAAACAACAGATAATTGATTTCGATGGGAAACTGACAAAAGAGAAAAGTATTAAAAACACAAGAATCCTATGATTTAAATATAGGTTTGTTAGAAATGTATCAGCTAACACGAATGGGAAGACTCTATTTATCTGACATCTTCCTTCAGTCGGCAATTACTTGACATGTCTTAATCTGCTGCTCAATCATTTCAAATGGCAGCATTGAGAATTAATTAGGAGAATAATATGATTTTGATTAAATATATAATTAGCTGATAGAAAAGGGAAGAGTAATAATAACAAACATGAAAAATCACGAAAACGTCAAATGTAATTTGGTTAACACATCGTGCAAACTACGAACTATGAATACAACGGACAGATGATATCGTTCAAACATTACCTAAAACTGATAGGTAGGTCTCTATTCAGCGAGAGAACGATTGGATGTCTGATCAGCTAGACCATTTAAGTAACTTAATTCAGTTTTTTTCAAGATACTTTCTTTATTAGCATATATTGCGTTACGTATCCTTCTTTACGTGACATAGTCAGGTGATATACGCAACAGTTCATTTCTCGATGTGTAAGATGCACGATCGTTTTGGTTGCAAATTCCATTTCACTAACAGGCTATCAATTTCTTTACTTATTTCTCTTAACAATACAAATTCTTAAACTATCGATTTGTCGGTAGTACAACTAACTGGGTGAAAGTTTCTCTTTCTCATATCAATTACAGTCATCGAACAATATTTAAAAACAAATAAAAATAACTTTTCAATATATTGTGGTGAAGAGACAGAGGTCGGGTTGAGTTGTCTGTTGTTACTTTTCATTTTCGAGAAAAACATCTTATTCATTGTTATTTCGATGGAATGAATAATTTGAAAATTCAGGTAGTGACAGCCTAGTACAAAACTAGCCGAAGATCTGAAAACTGAGCTGTAAGGGTTTTACGGTCTTTCAAGGGTGCCGGATTCGTCATTATTGATATTGGAGCGCACAGTTTACTGCAAGACGACCGACAGGTTGTATTCTTATCTTAACAATTCAACTTGGTCCTTCATTTTTTGGTGAACATAAACTTCAGATGGAAGCAGTAGCTTTGTATGATTTTGAGAGTACAGATGCGGAAGAACTAAGGTTCGCAAAAGGATCAATTCTTAAGGTAGGATTATGTGCTTGCTGCCTCCAAATTTTTGTTTTTGCTTCCCTATTTCCATTTTATTTTGAATTCACATCTGCTCAATGGTTTTCAGATTTTAAATACTGATGATAGCAATTGGTATTTTGCTGAAATTAAAGGACATGAAGGATTTGTTCCCGTTAATTATATAAAGTAGTTCTTCACTTCATACACTTTATTACAATATAATAATTTCATGTATGACAAACCATCGTGGTACATAGATAGGGTAGATGGTCAGACTGTGTTTGAACAACTTCTTCGATATCAGACTGGAACTTTCATTTGTAGGTAAAACAAGGAGTTTTCCTAACAAAATTCATAGATTGGCATTCATTTAGACCATCTCGCTCATTTCGTGGGGAATTTGCTCTTTCTGTTGTCAATTCAGAGCTAAAGTTGACACATTTCCGCATTTTCAAAAACTCTGGTAGTCTTGAGTGTTTACACCATCAATGGAAAACGTCTTTTTTCAGGATATTATAACATTTGGAAAGAGAAGTTCCCATCCTTGAATCAGCTCGTGACTTATTACAAGCGACAACCTTTGATTAAATGCGATATCCCTTTGATTCTAGTTAAAGCGATGGATAGTACGAGCTCCGAGCCCAGCAGTGGACAGAGTTCTTCCCTTTCCTCGAACACATCTCGCAATCAAGTATTGTCAGTTTTTTAAAAGTTTCTAATCTTCTCAAATAGACAACTGACGATAATGAGGATGACGATGAAGTTTTCGAGCAATAAATTCCTGTAGATATCGTGTAAGAAATTTTACTTTTACAAAATTTCCAAAAACATCCGATTCCTTTAAATCTCTTTTCTCATGTATCGGAGAGCAAGGCATCAGCATGACAATCTCATTTCATTTTTCATTGGAGGCGAGAACGGTTGTACTTTTTTAAATTTATCTTTCTTTTCTTAGCCGATCTTTAGAACGTTGTCGTGTATATAATATAATTACAATTTTAATGAAATGTAATACATTATAAAAAATAATTGCAAGAATGAGAATAAATTTTTATAAAATTTTGAAATATTACACAAAATGTGCTATATTCACACAGCGAAATAAAGAAGCCGCGAACAAATCATTTTTTGATTGAGAAAAACACCCAATAGACGTCAACGAACAACTAACTGTGGAAAAAACAACTAATTAGTCGGATATTATGGATAGTAGGCGGCTTTTCAAAACTCAAATGAAATAATTTGGTTATGAAGTCAGTTTCGGAACGCTCTTTCCAAGCGATCGGTTGAAACGACCGAAGTACGGTGAACGGAAGAACACATCCTGGTAACTTTGAGAACCAAGGTGTCATGGTAAAACGAGTCTTTGAAAAAAACTTTTAATATTAGAAAACCTCTTGTCTATTCAATTCAGTTGAGTTTACATATCAATAATCAGTAATTGTCATGTTAAGCAGAGTACAGTGTCTAGGAAGAATTCTCTTTTGCACTATTTCCGGAAGATTTGCAACTTGCTTGGAGATCGTTAAACTCATGCAGAACTTGTAACGATACTTTTCGAACTAGATTGCTCCTTTTGCGACGTTTTCAAGATCGAGTTTGGCCACATGTAATCATATAGAAAGCCGGTACTCTAATATGTGATGTACTCTAGCCATGTATCTACGGTAAATAGCAGATAGTGCTTTTTCAATGGGCTCCTGATACCTTTATCACATTCCACTAACTTCTAAAGGTTCTGGTAGAACATCAATTGTAGTTCAACGTACTTAGAAATTTCAGATTTTGAATCACGTCAGCTTTGAAGCTAAAGTGAAAAGCCATTAGTATGAATTTCATAATCACCTTTCGATCAAACAATGAAAAAAAAAGTTAGGAATGAAGGCACGAACTGTAGGAGCTGTCCACTTCGACGTTTTGAGTATACCTTAGTTTGGAGTCTGATGAGAGCTTATCACTAACTTGGTGAATCACAATAAGGAACCATTTCATTGCCACATATCATGTCGAGACAACAACCTTTTTTCTCAATGAGTTCCAAGTCGCCCTAGTCTTGAATGGGAGGCAGTTTCTCAAACTCAAATGTCAAATTCGGTACCTTCTTCACTCGTTTTGCTCTACGAACATCGGTCGTTTCACCAAATGACTTGGAAGAACGTTCCAAAGCTGACATCATAACTCATTACTACTATTTGAAATATAAAAAGCCGTCTATTATCCATAATATCCGACTAATTAGTTGTTTTTCCACAGTTAGTTGTTCGTTGACGTCTATTGGGTGTATGACGTCATTGGTAGAATAAGTTGATTTCTTAGTGCAACAACGATTTATTCGCGGCACATGTATACAACAGATATTAACACTCCTCCAATCATCGAGTATGTTACTTATTAACTTCTCAACTAACGAGTCATTCCACGTAGAGCTAAGGATCCAACTGCTGATAAGTTAGCCGCGACAATCGGATTTGGTGTAGCAGCTACAGGAATTTACGACAAAATTCCGGAAATTCAGGGTTGTCGTTCGGATGAAGCATCAGTGTTCCCAGATGTGACATATTCTGAATATGTCGGTGAGCGACGTATCAATTGGAGAGAAGAGTTTGAAGAAGTTTGTGCCTGTTCTTTACCGGATGTACATGTTTTATCCTTAGACCTTCGCCAATGAAAGAAATCAATATCATAGAATGCGAATGGATTGGGAATCCATAGGTGCTCACCGTCGTAGATTGAGAGCTGTGGGTTTTGAATGAACCTTCGATTAGAGAAGCAACTATCCCATTTAGAAAGTCAATAAGATCAGCAAAAACAAATGGATTCGGGATTTCCTCCACCTCTTCTTGGACGGAAAGATAATGAAGGTCAGTGAGATTTTATACATTCAAGGGATATAACCAATGATGATTTCTCATCAACCTTTTTCGTTTACGTTTGCATGTTGATTTAGGCATGGAAGAGAGTTCGAATCGTCCAGAGAGTGTTACGCGAAAGGGAGGATGATACAAGTTATAGGAATATAGGAAACACCGCAATGCTAGAAATGGTTATACAGGTTTTTAACTAGTTCGAGCTTAACGTTTAAAAAAGAAAATGTTCAGACTGTTGTTCAAATGCTCATCGAACCAGAAGAAGGCTTTAATTTACTCATGTATCTCACAACTCATTCATTTCCGGAGTGTGTTCTGAATGATAAGATCGAACCTGCTGCTCCTGCCTGTTTTCATAGAAAACATGGAGATTGCATGTAAGATTGAAAAGTTATTAATTTCCATGTTTCTTGATTATTTTTTTTAGGTTAGCCGAGCTTATTTTGAACTCATTGCCTGCCTTGCCACAGCGTAGATTGTTAGCTCATAGTACTATATCCACTAGAATGCGGGCCATTCATTTTGCAGCTTGTGCTGGTAACCCATGCCAGCTGGACGTTCTTTTAAAATTCAGTATGGAATTCGCTAAATTATATGTTATCTTTTTACTCTCATTCAGATGTTAATCCTAACTATATCGATGCAACTGGAAGATCTCCCATTCAATACGCGGTCGTACGTAATCATAGCATAATTGTAACTGCCAACTCATATTTCTTGAAACTTCTGTAATTTAAGGCACGTCAACTGATGTGGCATGGAGCCGATTTGACTCTATTCGATTCCTTAAGACAACTCAAATATGAGCCATTGCCCGAACAAACCAGAGCGTTCGTTTTCATAGCGGAACGTTACAGAGCCCTGGAACGCGCAATGTGTTCTTGGGTTAAGGCTTTTTGTGAGTATCCAAAAGAAGATATGAAAGAAGATTTTTATTCTAGGTGGTCGCAAATGGAAAGTCATAACTCCTGTGTCGTCTCTTCATAGCACTCGATTAGCTCTCTATGCAGATAGCATAGAAAGCTTCTCCGAAACAAAGTCTTCTTCTAAACCTTCTGTCCGACCTGTAAGTACTTATCTGCTTGTTAATACTAACTTTTTTTTACAGAGGTTGATAAGCTTATCTTTAAGAACAGAGTGTTTCGATGCCAATTTGGAGAAGAACGCTGACCAACTCGTCGTAAGTTGATGTTATTGTTTATGAACGTCCATTCCTGAATTTCAGTTGGTGTTCGCCATACCATTGATGTTCTCTCCCTACGATGCGGCCATGCCAGCTTTGGTACGTATCATTCTCTTTGAATACAAAGATTTTTTAGTTTAGTATCCACACGTTCTACGCACTAAACTCGTCATAGACAATGATTATCTAGGAACCCCTGCTCAGATATTGTCGAAAGATCCCATGTAAGAACTGTACGTCAAGTTGATCTTGGATACGCCTTTTACAGGATCCGATTCCATTCTTCCGGTCGTGAGCAAACTCATGATTTACCCTCCATTTTCCAAGAAGTTCATAACGGCTTTGTGTATGGTTGGCAGATTCCTAAGAACATCGACAGGAAGAGTAAGCTACTACATCAGTAAGACGCTAATTATCGCTTTCAGCTACACCGGTTTTATCCCTTCCGTTAGATCCTTCTCAGCTTAGTAGTACCATGGAAAAACATGCAATTCTCTTCGTTCAAGCATATTCGGTTGTACTTCCGCCTCCTCCCAAACAGAAATCAGAATGAGATCGTTAGGTGCGTATAGCATACATGATGAGATCATACTATGTATCATTCGTTTAATTGGTATTATGTCTCAAAAAGGCTGTTTTATCTTTTTATGTCATCCTCCTTGAGAGCTGTTTAATTTTGCATCTTGTTGATTTTACTAATGTTTTATTCAATTTACATAAAACGTTTAGTCGTCTTCGCCGCTTCAAAGGTACTACTCAATACGGGAGTTTGCGATCTGTAGGAACTAATTAATGAGATTTAATCTAGAAGAAATGAAAATGTTTCCCAATTCTCTAAATTATTTAAATTCTGTCCAGTTGGGAAAATAAAACTTTCAAATACAGACCGTTACTGATCTATACATGTGTTGCTTGTGGAGCCAACACCGCGAAGAAAAAACTCTTATTTTACAGGAAGGTTTTACCCTCATACCATACCGAAGCTGTTTTCACAGGAGGGAGCTTTGAAGGAATTACGAATTTCGTGCGACATTCATTGGAAT